TCCAACTGGCTGTCTAAGAACTACGTGCCAGTGGAACAGGAGAGTCTGCGTGAATTCGTGAAGGCACGTCTAAGAACCTTCTGCGAAGAGGAGGTGGATGTCCCCCTTGTGTTGTTCAACGATGTACTTGAGCACGCGCTACGTATTGATCGAGTCTTCCGCCAGCCTCAAGGTCATCTCATTCTTATCGGTGTCAGCGGAAGTGGAAAGACAACCTTGTCTCGCTTCGTCGCTTGGATGAATGGTCTAAAGGTCTTCCAGATCAAGGTACATGGAAAGTACTCTTCGGAAGATTTCGATGATGATCTCCGTAGCGTTCTCCGCCGGGCAGGATGCAAGGGCGAAAAGATTTGTTTCATTATGGACGAAGCCAACGTCCTTGACTCTGGATTCCTGGAACGCATGAACACACTGCTTGCAAACGCAGAGGTCCCTGGTCTCTTCGAGGGTGACGAATTCTCCTCGTTGATGACTGCTTGTAAAGAGGGTGCCCAACGTCAAGGCTTGCTCCTCGATTCGCAGGAGGAGCTGTACAAGTGGTTCACCTCGCAGATTGTGAAGAACCTGCACGTTGTGTTTACTATGAACCCGCCAGAGGAGGGCTTATCTTCAAAGGCAGCTACTAGTCCCGCTTTGTTCAATCGTTGTGTCCTGAACTGGATGGGTGACTGGTCTGACCAAGCCCTCTTCCAAGTTGGCTCCGAGCTCACTCAATCAGTCGATCTGGATAAGCCAAACTTCGTCTCGCCTGATAGCATCCCAGTGGCGTACCGCGAGTTGGCTCTCCCGGCATCACACAGAGACACTGTGGTCAATTCTATGGTGTATATTCATCACTCTCTGCATCGCTTTAATGGGCGGCTTCAGAAGCAACAGGGCCGGGCGACTTTCCTCACCCCTCGCCATTATCTCGACTTTGTTGCGCAGTACGTCAAGCTGTTCAATGAGAAGCGCGAGGATCTTGAGGAACAACAGCGTCACTTGAACATCGGTCTCGAGAAACTTCACGACACCGTCGACAAAGTGAGCGACCTTCGAGCTAGTCTCGCACAGAAGAAGACACAATTGGAGAAGAAAGATACGGAAGCGAACGAGAAATTGCAACGTATGGTTGCTGATCAGCAGGAGGCGGAACAGCGGAAGCACGTTTCATTGGAAGTGCAGGCCGCATTGGAGATTCAGGAGAAAGAAGTCGCAACTCGGAAGGAAGTTGTCCTGCACGATCTGGCCCGGGCCGAGCCCGCTGTCTTGGAAGCCCAGAAGAGTGTCAGCAACATTAAGCGTCAGCACCTCACGGAAGTTCGATCCATGGGTAATCCTCCAGCTAGCGTCCGGCTTGCCCTGGAAGCTGTATGCACACTCCTCGGTCACACTGTCGATAGTTGGAAGACAATCCAAGGTCTCATTCGTCGGGATGATTTCATTGCCAGCATCGTCAACTACGATAATGAGCGCCAGATGACACGCAGGCACCGTACCAAGATGCAGAATGAGTTCCTCTCGAAGGAAGACTTCACATATGAACGAGTCAACCGCGCTAGTAAGGCCTGTGGTCCTCTAGTGCAATGGGTCGAAGCCCAGGTCAACTACTCTGCAATCCTTGATCGTGTTGGTCCTCTACGTGACGAGGTGGATCAACTCGAGGAACAAGCCCTACAAACCAAGGCTGAAGCTCAGGCCATCGAAAATACCATCAACAGCCTCGAAAGCAGCATCGCTACCTACAAGGCCGAGTACGCGGCCCTTATCAGCGAGACGCAGGCGATCAAGACCGAGATGAGCCGAGTTCAGTTCAAGGTTGATCGTAGTGTCCGTTTGCTTGATAGTCTGTCCTCTGAGCGTGGGCGTTGGGAAGATGGGAGCAAGTCATTCGAAACTCAGATCGGCACTCTCGTTGGTGATGTCCTCATTGCAGCTGCGTTCCTTGCATATGCCGGTCTTTACGATCAGCAATTCCGTAAGGCAATGGCTGAGGACTGGGTCCACCAACTGGGCGCCTCTGGCATTCAGTACAAGCCTCACAACCCCATCACGGAATACCTGTCCAATGCCGATGAGCGCCTGACCTGGCAGAGTCATTCGCTTCCCGTGGACGACCTTTGCACAGAGAACGCCATCATCCTCAAGAGATTCAACAGATACCCACTTATTGTTGATCCATCTGGCCGTATTACAGAATTCTTGCAGAAGGAAAGTAAAGAACGCAAGCTTACTGTCACGAGTTTCTTGGACGATTCCTTTGTCAAGCAATTGGAGAGCGCGTTGCGTTTCGGAAACCCCATCCTTATCCAGGATGCCGAGCACCTGGACCCTATTCTCAATCACGTTCTCAACAAGGAATACCAGAAGACTGGTGGTCGTGTCCTTATTCAATTGGGCAAGCAAGAAATCGATTTCTCGCCATCCTTCAAGCTCTTCCTGTCGACCCGCGATCCATCTGCCTCGTTCCCGCCGGATATTTGCAGTCGTACCACCTTTGTCAACTTCACTGTCACCCAGAGCAGCTTGCAAACACAGTCTTTGAATGATGTACTGAAATTCGAGCGGCCCGATGTCGATGAACGTCGCAACAACCTCGTCAAGATGCAAGGAGAGTTCAAGGTCCACCTTCGACAACTCGAGAAGCGCCTTTTGCAAGCTCTCAACGAGTCCCGTGGTAACATTCTCGATGATGACAATGTCATTGAAACTCTTGAGACTCTCAAGAAGGAGGCTGCCGATATTTCTCTGAAGATGGACGAGACTGAAGGCGTTATGCTCGAGGTCGACCATGTTACGCAGAACTACAGCATTATTGCCCGTTCATGCAGTGCCGTCTTTGCGGTTCTAGAACAGCTTCACCACATCAACCACTTCTACCAGTTCTCTCTGCAGTACTTTGTCGATATTTTCAACTCTGTTCTCTACCAGAACAAGCGCCTTGCTCAGGAGAAGGATCATGCTGCACGTGTTCAGATCATTGTGAGGGACTTGTTCATCAACACCTACAAGCGAACCTCGCTAGGTCTAGTTCAAAAAGATCGCATCACCCTCGCCATCCTCCTTGCACAGGCTACTCCATTCCCCATGGACAGGACCATTCTCGACCGCGTCCTGGATGATACGGTGGAGGACACGGATCTTTCAACTTCGGTGGACGCCCGCGACCAAGTAATGACGAAGCTGGCCAACATGTCCCTCTTCAAAGATCATCTTTCCAATGTCACTCAAGAACAGTGGGATCGCTTCTTCGGCGAGGAGCTTGCAGAGAACGTCGTTCCGGTCATGTGGGATGAGAGTGTGCCACAACTCGACCAGCTCCTCCGGTCCTTGCTCCTTGTCAAGATTTGCCGCATGGATCGATTCGTGCCCACCGCCGAGCGTTTCATCGAGGCGGTATTCGGCCGCGAGCTCTTTGAGGGTGGTGCCGACCTAAAGGATGTAGTTGACCAAGTGACTGCAACCAGGCCCATTGCGCTCAGCTCCAGCCCTGGCTTCGATGCCAGTTACAAGGTCGACGCTCTTGTCGAAGCCACACGCGCAACCTGCGCCAACATCGCCATGGGTTCCAACGAAGGTCTCGAAAGCGCCGACAAGGCCATCAGCAACGCAGCTGCAGTCGGTAACTGGGTTCTGGTCAAGAACGTCCACCTGGCGCCTGCTTGGCTGCAGAGTCTCGAGAAGAGACTGGATTCCCTCAAGCCACACAAAGAGTTCCGCCTCTTCTTGTCCATGGAGTCCAGCCCTAAGATCCCTGTCAATTTGATACGGGCTTCGCGTGTGCTGATGTACGAACAGCCCGCCGGTGTGCGTGCAAACATGAAGGATTCCCTCTCCTCGCTGAATGTGCGAGCCAGCAAGGCTCCAGTCGAAAAGGCCCGTGTCTATCTCTTGCTCTGCTTCCTGCACGCCGTCGTCCAGGAAAGACTCCGCTATGCGCCAAGTCTTGGATGGAAGGGCTTCTGGGAGTTCAACGACAGCGATGTAAGTACCCCATCTCCATCAATTTACTATTCCTACAGATGCTAACATTTCCACGCAGTACGAATGCTCAGCCTACATCATCGACCACTGGGTCGATTCAGTGTCCCAAGGCCGTTCCAACGTTGCTCCGCAGAAGATTCCATGGGAGATGATCCGCACTCTCGTTGCGGAGATGTACGGTGGTAAAATCGACGACGCAGGAGACTACCAGCAGCTCGAGAACCTCGTCAATAGCTTCCTTACACCCGCTGCTTTCGAAGACGGCTACAAGCTCGTTTCAGGTGTAGAGAACGACAACCTTTTGACTCTGCCGGAGACCACTAGCATGCGCGACTTCGTCACATGGGTTAACAACCTGCCCGAGCGTGAGCCTCCTACCTACCTGGGTCTCCCTGCCAATGCCGAGAAGCTCTTGTTGGTCGGTCATGGTCGTAAGATGATTTCTGATCTCTCGCGGGTTACGACTCTTCTTGATGAAGGAGAGCAGTTGGTGGTCGATAACTGATCTGTACTTGTTTTTGTTCACTTGTTTTTTTTTTCTCTCGAAGTTCCTAGAAGGATTGTGTTATTATTTTACTGTTGGTGGAAGAGTACATAAACACCGCTGGCGGATTTCTAATTATTGTTCTCGGTTCAATTGTACTGTGTCCAGCTTTGTATCTTTCTTTGTACATTTTTTTCTCTTATTCCGAGTATCAGCACCGGAAATGTCTGGTCTCTCCTATACAACTACTTGTAACTTTTACCTCGTTGCATCCCACATGCATCATTATATTGTGAGTCCTAATAATGAAACCGAGTGTACTCTCCACCTCCGTGGATATCTACCAAAGTGTTTTCAGGATATAGTCAAAATAGCATTAAGTATCATGTATACAGTCTGTGGATTATCTGGTCCGCATGAGGGAAAGGGAAGAAGTAGTCAAGCCAATCCTCTAGACATAAATGTAACATCACGAAAATCATCACAATGAACGCCAACAATCCGGTGCCGCGGTGGAGAATGAGGTCCTATGTACGCGAGTGAGGCGGGGCCTTTACGAGATGAAGGTCGACTCAGAGAACATAGTTCCCTCCTCGGTGATTTCCTCGTCGCCGAGCTTGAGCTTCAATGAGAGCTTCTCCTGGGGCGAGTACTGTGCAAGAGAGTTAGATATGATTATTTTGACAATTAACAAGAAATGGAAAAGGGAAAGGGTGCATACCTGGAAGATGTACGGCCGAGTACCGGCAACACTGCCAGCAATGCTCTTAATGAAGCCTGGCACCTCGGCCATGACGTCGATGCGATCCAGTCGCGAGCCGAGGGCACCGTTCACCTCGGCTGTGAGTTCCTTGCCGTCGGTTGTCTTGCCGGTCCACTCCCACTTGATGGACTTGGGAGCGGGCCAGTCACTGCCCTCGTCCTGGCTGGTTTCTGTGTGGGCCGCTGTGTTGGTTGTGCCGGCGTAGATGACCTTGCCATCCTTGACGATACCACCGACGTTGACCTTGGTGGAGCCGTAGGAGGGGGGAGTGGTGTACTCCATCATGACAGCGGAGTAGGTGGGGGTCTGGAAGTTAATGAAGTTCCAGCGGGCGGCTGCGTTTTTGTTAGTATTAGGTGATTCTGGTTGTCAATTCCTGTACAGGGATTCTTACCAGCGTGGTGAGGCTTCATGCCCTGTAGGGCCATGATGAAGAGACCACGACCTGCGAGATCGTAGGTCTTGTCCTTGGTGGTGATGCTACCCTCAACAGCACAGCGGGGCCAGAAAGCGTGGCGCATGGAACCCCATGGGTTCTTGGGGTCGGTTCCGAAGTATGAGGTTCCGTCCTTGCCGACAACGAAACCGGGTGCGGTCTGGGAGAACTTGATATCCACCAGGGCGCCGCTGTTGACGGTGGACTTGATGGTGTAAGAGTTAGCCTCCTCGTTGAGGGTCAGCGACAGATTGTCGGCGCCGAAGGAGAGCATGTTCTCGTCGAACATGAAGTTGGAGAGCGGGTCCGAGTACCACTTGTTGTCGCCCTTTCCGCTGACGTCGAAAACCTTCACGTTGAACTGGGCAGTGGTGTGGATTCCGCTGTAATCGGGATCAAGAATCAGAGTCAGCTGCTGTAGGTTTTGATTCCAGAGTAGAAGGTAGAAGCTTCAAGCTCCGGCTGAGGGTTCCTTACACAATGTTGCTGTAAATCACCTGAACGAAGACCAGGGTCCCGTTGTCGGCCATGATGTAGAAGGTCTGGGTTTCGACATTGGTGTAAGAGTATGCGCGCCAGCGCAAAATCTCCTTGTTCACATCAGAGAAGGGAGTTGTCTCGGCTTGCTTCGCAACAGATTGGATAGCCTCTGGGCCATAGATGGGCTCCTCGGTGCCCACCACGGCGGAGAGACTGCCCGCATGGAATCGGTCAGTATAACCACAATAAAGAAGGGCCGAGCGGAACGTACGTCGACTTCAGCCAGTTCATGATTTCGATAAGTTTGGAATTAAGAGAAAAAACCGGAGAAGAAAGAAAGCGAGAGGAAAAGGGATGTGAAGGGAAGATCGACGCGGGGCCCGAGAGTTCTAGTTCGGATGTGAATGGGACTATCCGGATGAGAAGGCGATACACCAGATGATCGATTTAAAGGATGAGAGTAGAAATTAGATCTAGATATTGTGAATACCAAGATCAAAATGAGAAAAATGAATTAGAAGCTAAAGAAGCCTCAGAAAAAGAAGGGAAAGGAGAGTACCTTATGACGTTGGGCTTCTTTTGCTCGCTTCCCACCTCGGCCAATCAACGTCGTCGGCTGAAAATCTGCAAATCTTCCGATTTCATCTTCGCTGCTCTTGGCCTTTTGGAACTATCTCGACATATTCTCATCATGGCACGAAACGTATTGGCCAAGGATCAATTTGTTAAGCTCATTGTTGGAGCTGGTCAGGCCAGTCCTAGTCCGCCTGTTGGTCCGGCACTGGGAAGTAAAGGTGTTAAATCCATGGACTTTTGCAAGGTTGGTCTTTGTTTACCGTTTCGCCTCATGGGTTAACAAGTTATATTTACTAATTAATTCACTAGGAATTCAATGCCCGCACAGCTCACATCACCACTGGCGTCCCAATCCCCGCGCGTGTCACCGTCCGCCCCGACCGATCCTTCTCCTTCGAACTCCGCACTCCAACTACCACCTACCTCCTGCTCAACGCGGCCAATGTCGAACCCCGGAAGAACCGGCTGCGTGGTGCCATGAACCCTGGCCACGACGTTTGTGGCACGATCTCCCTCAAGCACGTTTACGAGATCGCCAAGCTCAAGCACACCGAGACGCGGTTATCAGGCTTGTCCCTAGAAGGGTTGTGCAAGAGTGTCATGTCCCAGGCCAAGTCCATTGGTATCCAGGTCATCCCCTGAGCATCACAAGGACAATAGACTTGTATAATTATTGGTTATCATTCCAGCAGTGCTCCAAGGAGCCTACTTGTTTTGATTTGGATCCTTTTACTAGGCGTTTTCTGCGAAATTGGGGGTGCTTTCTTCCCCCTGTTGTACGATACCGATTATTATTATTTTTTCCAGATTGTATGTCATATCTGTTGATCGCAATTCAAGAGATATTTTGCATTGAAAGTTACTTGAATCTTTGGGGGGTTACCTAGAGTGACTTATCGAAGTCACATACAACATATAATCCAGCTAATCACCACCATGCGATTAAAATGACCGTGACTTATGATCACGTGCCATCGCACCATCCATCGGCGAAAGCGGCCCCCGGGTCTTGAAATACCCGTGGATGTTTTCTTGCTAATGACTGGATAATCGAGAGAAAGATCTCAGACTACAGATGAGGTCACAGACTTCAACACATGCGCGGAGCGGAGAACTTGGCATCTGTGTAATCCAAGTCACTCAAGTCCGACCTTGGCATGACCAAGAATGTTTTCATGTGTCACAGTATTAACGTAGGCATGTCACTTGGGAAGTCTGGGGAGTCTGGGGAGCGGAGAAAGATGTACAAAGCATGTCCGGAGTAGCTATACAACATACGGAAATGGAAATCTAGTGGAGTCAGCAGATAGACTAACCCCATTCAGGTAATGTTCCAGATCATCCACCATATGTAAGATGTAAGATATGTACAATGGCCTGCAGTAACGCAGTAACTCCCCGTAAGCTTGGAAGGTGTTAGGGTCAGCATCTCCGGGAAGTCGGCACGGGTCGACATCATCCTTCCAATTCTCCGCGACCATCCGACTTATGAGGTAAGGTTATTCCTAGGTACATTTGAATAAACTGGACTAAATTTGGGCATATTTTCGATATATTTTTGGCATATATATATCATATATATACCCATGTTAAAATAGAAAGACAGAGAGAAGTAAAGAATGAGAAAATGAAGTACATAAATGAGGTCAAGCAAAGTACTAGTCCCCCACTCGCCCCCAAAAAACCAAGTTGGCCTGAGGCCCAGAACTTCTCACATCTCCCCTCTTCTCGCCTTTCTCATTTTACTTCTTTATCTCTTCCTCTCTTCCACCCCTTCCTGTTCTCATATTTTCTTCTTTAGACCCGGGATACACGGATTCCTGGAATTCCTTGACCAGACCCGGGTGTACTTGATCGCATTCGGCGGCAGAAAAAAAAGTTAAAAAGGGAAAGGATTTGCCTCACGCATCATTCTTTTTGACTTCTCAAGACTCTGTTCAGGACATCGTCCAATTCTGCGATTTTGACAGTACTTGAACTGATCCTCAGTTCGCTGTCTAACGCTCCCCCCAAAGCTCCCAGCGTGAGGGGCATGTGTCTCACGTTCCGAGCCGACGTCGAAGACTATGACGTCTGAACTGACTGATTCCACACCCAACCTTATGGGTTCAGGTATGTCTTGGCTGCCATGCTGATCGGTTGTAATGGTGTATCCTAAATTCCTGCCAACCGTCTGACGCATGTCTGTCCCTCTAGAATCCCAAACTATGCACAACCCCGCCAAGATCCCCGGACAAGCCCCGGAGCCCGGTGACGCCGACGCCAAGTCCAGAGCTCAGCCAACCCAGGTCCGTTTCTCCTCCATCACGGAAGAAATTGAACCAGGTCAATCCGAATTGTCCCCTGTGCCAGAGCAACCGTATCAGTCTCTGTCAGGACCTACAGACGAGGAACAATTACGGTCGCTGGCGATGAGTATGCAGGGCGCACAGCTTCAGGAGTCGCGCGTGCGCAAGTTCTCTTTTGACCCCATGTCTCTTCCTTCCTCCAGGGTATGTCAAATCTATCTCTAATTTGCCGGATGTTCTTCCGAGTCTTCCCAATCTCTTCATGCTTCAAATGATATCTACTTCTACTTCCCTTCATCCGACGGGCTCTGAGCAGAGACTCAGTGGACCATGGCAATCTCGTCATCATACTAACTTTAGACCCTCATAGGTTGGCTCTCGAGAGTCGAGTGATCGTAGCGGGCTTGGCACCGGTGCCTTTGCCTCTCCGCATGCGTCTCCTCCGGTCTCTGCTGTACAGTCACCGCCTCTTACTCCAGCCGCAACCCATTCTCGCGAAGGCAGAATTAGCGACAGTGCCTCTCTGAAAGCTACCAGCCGACCCCACCTAGACACCAATTTCACCCCTGAAGCATCACCTCCAGTCGGTCCGAACGACAAGAACGGCACGTCTCGACCCGGCTTATCCTCCCGACCCCTGTCCACCGATCACCTGCCCACCAGAAAAAGTGAAGGTTCAGACCGAGCTCCTCATCACATTCAACTACCGAAACATCGTGCGCAATTCTTCGTTGGAAATGACGGGGGCGCCCAAGAAGAAAGCCCCCCCTCCACTCCAAGAGAGCCTATTACCCCGCCAGGGGCCATGACCCCCGTTGGCGAACCTAATGACCCATATGCGCGCCATAAGCGACCACCTCAATCCAAAAACCTTGCCCAACTGGATCCGCGGTTTATCTTCAGCGGCCGAGATGTCAAACGCTCATTCCGTCCGGGCGCTCCCCGATCCACCAGCGCAAGTGACCTCAGCAAATCTAGTGACAAGCGGAGCATCTTTGGTAGTGCGAAGAAGGAGCAAGGCGACAAGAGCCACGGTCACCAGCATCACGGCTCTATGTCTGAGCTGAAACGCTTCTTCAAGATGGGCCATCGCAACAAGCGATCCGAGTCCCCGACGTCCATGCCTAAGAAATCGAGTCGGTCATCTGGCAAGTCTTCTTATCAGGCGGCTCCAGACAATGTTCCTTTTGCCGATGACCATGGTCTGAATTCCAAGTATGGAAAGCTGGGCAGGGTGCTCGGATCTGGAGCTGGTGGCTCCGTGCGTCTTTTGAAGCGCAATAGTGACGGCGTCACCTTTGCAGTGAAGCAATTCCGAGACCGTCATAACTGGGAGAGCTTGAAGGAGTACTCCAAGAAGGTGACTGCAGAGTTTTGTATTGGCTCCACCTTGCACCATGGCAATATCATCGAGACCTTGGATATCATTCAAGAAGGCCCTCGCTGGTATGAGGTCATGGAATATGCGCCGTTTGATCTGTTTGCTATCGTGATGACAGGCAAAATGGGCAAGGAGGAGATTGCCTGCTCTTTCAAACAGATCTTGAGCGGTGTGGCATACATCCATGGCATGGGTCTGGCCCATCGGGATCTTAAACTGGATAACGTGGTGGTGAACGACCGTGGCATCATGAAACTCATTGATTTCGGAAGTGCTGTCGTATTCCGCTATCCGTTTGAGAATGACATTGTCCCTGCTTCAGGTATGTATTGTTTTGTTTTGTTCTAAGTCACAGTTGACGGTTATTGATTTCCATGAGCAGGTATCGTTGGCTCGGATCCCTATCTTGCCCCCGAGGTCTACGACGAGAAGAAATATGACCCCCGTCCCACAGATGTTTGGTCGCTGGCGATCATCTTCTGCTGTATGACCTTGCGTCGCTTCCCATGGAAGCAACCGCGCATGACCGACAACTCATACAAGTTGTTCGTTTCCAGCCCGACCCCAGGCACCCCGGTTGCCGAACCTGACTCACACCGTCGGCCCAAGTCGACCCCCGATCTTCCTTCCCAAAACCATGACAATAAGCGTCTGACTCCTCGCTCGAGCGGCGGACCTTCCGATCAGTCTGGATCGGAGCAGCATGCAAACGGAACTGAAAACGGAGACGCGAACAAAACAGAGCCCTCGCAGGGGGATCGCTCTCCCGATACTGCTCAAAAGCAGATCAGCCAAACCAGCAACGGCCCCCATGAGCGGACCACCCGCACGACCAGCAAAGAGGCGCCACCGGTTCCGACATCATCCCAGAATTCCGGGCAGCGCCAGGAAGTCATCAAGGGCCCATGGCGACTTCTCCGCATCTTGCCGCGGGAAAGCCGGTACATCATTGGCCGCATGCTGAAGACCAACCCGAAAAACCGAGCGACACTCGACGAGGTAATGTCGGATGACTGGGTAAGGAACATTCATGCATGCCGACAGGACGAAACCGGTGAAACCATCAGTGCCCCCGGCCACACGCACGTTCTCGAGCCCCCCGCTCAGAGCCCTGCTGTGGCCAGCAAAGCTACCAAAGCTAAATAATATCCCTTCTTTGTATCAATTTCTCCTTGTGTCCATATATCCCCTTTATCCTTTGAGAACGGGGTGGCACTTTTGTCCCCTTCCCTTCGCGTTTACTGTGTGATTCCCTACGAGTACTGTAGATGATTTTGGCGGTTTCCCTCATTCTCCGGGCCATGTTTGAGATGAGTTGATATTCTTGAATAAACTTCTGTGACATCTTATCGCACTCGAGTTTCTCTGAAGATCTTGAACCAAACAGAGCACTAGCTCTGGCTCGATTATGGATGTCACCGATTGACTTGTGGGATGTCGAAGTGTGTTTTTTTCTTTTTTTCCAGGGGAGATTTTTTACCAAGGCGTCACGCTTGTGCTAGAGAGCTTTACTTTTCTAAGTAGTAGATACGTGTCAATACAAACATACAATCCTAAATATGTAACTATATAACTATATAACTTCTCTTTTGGATTGGACCTGACGTAGCGAAGATCGGCGATATCGGATGGCCTGACCGCGGACCAAAAGAAACTGCCAGCCATCCGCGGAGCTTCTCCGTTTAGCCCGCTTTTTCACGGAGTACAACATACTTCATTGCTGTTCTCCCTTCCTACTTCCACCCAATTGGCCATGTGCTTGTGAGAGAACAATTTCCATACCCAATTCTATACAAAAATGGCCCAACAACCTGACGGGGAGCCATTGGTCTCCTCCCTGTGGACGAGGTCATTAATTGTAACCTTCTCCAAAGCTCTTCCCAGCAGTATCCCTCTAACAGCTCTGCAACTATATAGTCCGGCGCAATTGCAGGCCTGACTGTCGACTGCTCCCTCTACCCCCTGGACACCATCAAAACGCGACTCCAAAAAGCACGCGACCACACCGCGCCCCAAACCCGAGTCTCCCTACGCCAAACCTTCCGCGGTATCTACGCCGGTCTCCCATCCGTCCTCTTCGGCTCTGCTCCCTCTGCCGCCTCATTCTTCATCGTCTACGATGGCGTCAAGCGCACCTTACTCCCACCCCAATCCGCCAACAGCAAAACAAACCCCCAATCCCGCTCCCACATAATCCTCACCCACTCCCTCGCCTCCTCCCTCGGCGAAATCGCCGCATGCGCCGTCCGCGTTCCAACAGAAGTCATCAAGCAGCGCGCCCAAGCCGGCCTCTTCGGCGGCTCGAGTCTCCTCGCCCTGAAGGACATCCTGTCCCTACGGCACGCAGCCCCAACAAGCACAGGCACAGCCCCAACAGCGAAGCGCGGCTATAGCCAGGTCTTCCGCGAACTCTACCGCGGAGCCGGAATCACAATCGCCCGCGAGATCCCCTTCACCGTGCTGCAGTTCACAATGTGGGAGTCGATGAAGGAAGCATACGGCAAACGGTACCTGCGAACCAGGGAGACGGCTTCGTCTCTCGCCGAGACGCAGATCCCCGCCTCGACGAGCGCCATGTTTGGCAGTGTTGCTGGCGCCATTTCCGCTGGTCTGACTACCCCGCTCGACGTGATTAAGACGCGGGTTATGCTTGCGCGCCGTGGAGACGGAGGCGTTGATGCGCCTGTTCGTGTTAAGGAGATTGTGCGCGGGATTGCGCGGGAAGGGCCAGGTGCTTTCTGGCGTGGTATTACGCCCCGTGTGACATGGATCGGTATTGGTGGGGCTGTTTTCCTTGGGAGTTATCAGTATGCTTCGAATACTCTTGAGGGGCGTCGGGAGGCGCAGGCGGAGAAGGGTCTTTGATTGGATTCTGGATTCTTTCTTGGCCCTGTGGTTTGTATATTTTTGCTATATAGATGATTGGAAGAGCATAGATTTTGGAAAGCGAGTTGCTCTAGGCAATTATATATGTCATTTTTCTTTACTTGCTCGGACTGCTTGCTCTTTAAGCATCCAGCTCAATTCCTGAACTTGCTCCGCAGTTAGGAGTTTCTCTATCTGCTCTTTGCGCTGGAAATTGTGGTCTGCAAACTCAAAGCCTGGGATAACGACCTTGGTAGGGCGGTTTGATATGGGATATTAGAATGTCCATTCTCTTTTTGTGTGGTTTTTAGAGGCATTGACAATAAATATGTATGTTGTAGAGGCTCTCGGGGGGTGAAGAGCGACGAACAATGACGAGGAGCATGCAACGTTCAGGTATATCTTCCTTGCTGGCTTATCGATGGGTGAAATTTCCCAAGAGGACTACGGAACTCTCTGGGTGAAGTAAATCATGTCTCAACCCTTGTTTATATGCCTTGGTATTATACCATATGGTTATACTTAGATGCATAGAATATACTCTTTAGGTCGGGTCAGAGTAAATATGTAGCCTCCAAGTATCAAATCTCATCCGAGCCCAACAAGTATCAAGGTAGGTCTGTAACGTTGTAACCAAGTACCCTTTGTATGGCATGTCTATATAAGAGGTACCCGATTTTAACAGCAACGGACTACTACATACCCAACCTCTCGTTCACCAAGGGAGTTGACATCAACATGGCAACCTACATGTCGGAGCTTGGCTTCTTGGCAAACCTAGTCTTGCCGCATGTGCAAAGATATCAAAGAGCTGTATAAGATTGGAGTGTGAGACGGCGTTCGAAAAGATACGACCTGCAGCCTTCTCAGAGCCCCAAACCAAGCCCTATCTTGGCGATGCAGCCAAGCTGCTCTATTCAGGTTGTTAGCACGAGCTCAAGGTACCCCCTCCGTATGGGACAAGTGTAACATCCGTGGGTGTGGAACACGGCTTTAGACCGAGAGCGCAAATCTGTTGGGTCTTAAATCTCCCTCATCTATCAAGTTATTCAGGGCCAATCACCACCTCGTTGATGGAGTTAGTGGCTGTTTCTTTCAGAAAGCTGGAATCTTGTGGATCTGTAGAGTAACATATAAGTGATGTATTGCCTTTCTAGGGGTTGTCTGTGTTACAAGTAACGGAATATGTAGCGAGATAGCCAGGAATAACCGAGAAGCCTTCCAAAATGGGAAACGGAGAAGCTTCCGGACTATTAGATCAACGGACAAAGATTTGAGTGATTATCTAAAGGTTTCTACTTTAATTAGATCGGGAATATAGAAGATGGTATAATATAGTTATAGCCCTGGAGTAAGTAACGAAGTAACGAAGTATAAACGTATAAACACGCGCTGACAACCCCTGGCGCCTCCAACTTTAGAAAACTTCCCCTCATTTGAGTATTTCCCCTTTGTCGCTTCTTTTTTTCCTCGGCCTTTTGACTTATTCTCTTTGATCGTCGCGAATGGCCCTGTGACGTTTACCTTCCCCACCAAAACTCAACGTGCGATCGGCCTTGAGGGCAGATAAGCTCCGCATTCGCATCTCCGCAATTGGTTTCACTCCTTCAACGCTGCATGTATGGCACGCAAACTGAGCCACCAGAGGGTCACCTATGGTAAGTTGGATTCTATGTATCTCCTCTCAGATCGCTGACTGTGTCTCTCACTTTGTTAGTCCTCCCTCTGCCTGATGCCCCCGGTGGGCACCGGTTGGGGGTCAATGGCCTGACTGTCGACCGCCAAAACTCCATCCTGTAAGTATCTCTCCCCCATTATGCTGGGATCCAGGATCTCGATCTGAACGGTTGCCACGTTTGCGACCTCGATCTTCTGGGTATTAGGCTTCATTACACGTGAGTTGTACGGATACTAATATGACGTCCCCTCTCCTAGCTACTCCGCGGGCCGCGACGGCGTGATCTGTTCCTGGGATCTCGACTTTCCTCTTCCATCCTCATCTGCGCCCAAAGAAGCATCAAATCCTGACCAAAAGCCCAGTCCGACCGGCTTCAAAACCCAGGTTCAAGCCCATAGTCACTGGATCAACGACATAGTCTTGGCACAGAACAGCTCCGCGCTCGTTTCCGCCTCGTCCGACACGACTGTGCGACTCTGGCGCCCGCATTCCGAGTCTACTGAGGTGCCGGAGCGCATTGGAAAACATACCGATTATGTGAAGGCCCTGGCGAGTCCCGGTAGCCATGCTACTTGGGTTGCCTCGGGTGGTCTTGATCAAAAGGTTTACCTTTGGGATTTGAATGGCGGCGGAGAGGTATTGAACATCAATGCCGGTGGAGAAGACTCAACGGATAAAGGGTCTGTCTATGCGCTGGGTGCGGTCTCGTCGGTACTCGCTAGCGGTGGCCCTGAAAATGTCGTCCGAGTATGGGATCCCCGGTCTGGGAAGCTAGTGACCAAGTTCGTGGGTCATACGGACAACATTCGTGACATTATGATCAACCAGTCCGGCGATACAATCATGACGGGTTCGTCTGACCAGACCATCAAGATCTGGTCTCTCACGGCGGGTCGATGCATGAACACCCTGACCATGCACAATGATAGCGTGTGGTCTCTTTACTCAGATCACCCTGATCTTTCTGTCTTCTATTCAAGTGACCGATCTGGCTTGGTGGCGAAGACCGACATGCGAGGGTCGGCCGATCCTGATCAGGGCCTCTCCGTCGCCGCACTACAAGAGCACGAGGGCGTTGTCAAGGTTGTGGCAGCGGGAGATTACATCTGGACAGCTACTCCCAAGTCCAGCGTTCACCGCTGGCGAGATGTTGACACTACAGTTGGAATCGAGCCGCCGCCCGACCCAGCCCGTACCATAGACTCTGCCACAGTGCCTGCAACCCCCGCAGAGAAGGCACCCAAGAAGATTCCATTTAATGCTGTTTTGCAGTTATCAGCGACATCAATTCTGGGTGGCTCAGCCCCTAAACTGAATTCCTCGGAGCCTAACTCGGAGGCAATTGGCCTAACAATCCCAGTTCACCCACAGCCCGAGGAAACTATTGAAGGCCAACATGGCTTGATCAAGTGCTTGATGTTGAATGATCGGAGGCGCACACTTACTCAGGATTCAGCAGGAGAAGTTGTTCTCTGGGACTTGCTGAAGGTGATTTTGGTTACGTCCGAACCGATAAGTATGAGACATCGGCTGACATGAACATAGTGTATCCCCATCCAAAGCTTCGGCAAACGTCATATGGATGATGTTGAGTCAGAGGTAA